GGTTATTAACCCTCGCTACGCGGGGGTTTGTACATTGTTATAGATTGTTTTAATATATCTTTTTTTTTTAGTAATTACATAAGTAGCTAATTAGCTATACATTGATGATAATAATGCAAAAGTACTATAAGTTTTTTTTTTTAAACATAAATGTTCTTTTATTTTTCTTTTTAATATCATTTACGTTATTTAAAATTTTGATAAAGCATCTAATCCATCTCTTTTCTCTTACAATTTTCTGTTGTAAATCTTCATTTGCAAATAATCCCCCAATCGAATCTCTTCCTCATAGTCTTATATTCACCTCTTCGTTATTGTTTTTCGATTTGAATTGTTGATTCAAAGATTATACATGAGATTAAAGGTTTCATGCTTCCCAGAAAAGGAAGGACAAAAATTTTGTTTTATAATAGTTGTCATTTTAGGTTTTCAGTGTAAATGTTTGGTGAAAATTTCAGTTTTATCCCTACTTCTTTAATATTTTGGCCAATAAAAAATTATAAAATATATAAACAGAAAATTTAATAGTTTTCTTAATTTGTGTAAAAAGATCTTAAATGACAACTAAAACAAAACGGAGGGAGTAAACTCTAGTACCCATAAAGATCTACCTAATAATATTAAGAAGAAAATTCATAATATCTGATAATCTTTTTCGAATTTATATTTTAAGAAATTTTCCAATGAAACATAAATTTTTATATATTTTACAAAATTTAGGGAACAAAATCTATACGATCTTTATGAATGAGACCACCATTCTACACTTGCTTAAGTACAAGAAAATCTATAAATGCAAACTATTATTCTTTAAACAAGATATGATCACTCAAACCCAGTTAACTTGATTACCCGGTTAAACACTAACCCAAACCTTAAATAAACCCGAGCTAATAAAATTCGTCAGCACCAAACCTGAATTTCATCAGAATCTAACTGAAGCTACGTTGGTTACCTTCTCTCTAGAGCCCATTTAAACTCTCTCTTGATCCTTAAAAAAAAATGTCTGAAACACTTAAACACACACAGTTACTTTTGTCTCTTTGTCTCCTTAATTCCCTCAGATTTATTGCTTCTTTTTTTTTTAAACTTCACCTCAATATCATAACGTAAAGGAGAAAATACCTTTTCTTTCTGGGATCTATAAAATAAAACTGATGATATACTATAAAATAAACAACTTTTTCCCTGAATTCACTCTAGAAAGAAATCTCTTCTTTTTTATTTTATTACCTACCAAAACCAAGAAATTGTTTGTTTTCAGTTTTAGTGAAAAAGAAAGTATTTATATATTTTAAATCGTTTTTGTGTGTTTTCTTCTGTCTTTGGTTGATTTTAGCTGTAAAGGTCCACACACCACACCACACCATTGCCCACAAAAACGACCCCTTTGGCTTACGTCTCTCTCTTATGTGACTTTTGATTTGAATGATGAATAAAAATTGTTTCTTCTTCTTCTTAGAATTTGCTTTTTGTTTTAAAGTTTTCTCCTTTTCTCTTCAATTTTATTATTTTACTCTCTATGGGTTTGGTAGGAATTTTTTTTCTTTCTTTTAATTTTCCTTGTGAGATGTGAAAGTTTCAATTTTGATCATATATCTGGTGTGGAATTGGGTCTTTTCTCTCTCAGAGGCATGTCACCTGTTGCTAAAGTCTCTGAGTTTCACAGAGAAGGGAACGATTGGTACATACCTCTCTCTTTCCCTTCTCTCTCTCTGTTTTTGCATGTATGTGTGTTTGTTTATACAATTTAAGTTCATGGGTTCTGTCCAAACTTCATTCAATTGTCCAATTTTATGATGTCGGTAGCTTAAAGACCTTAAAGTTTGCAGCTTTATTCAATTCTTCACTTGCCATATCAGTTTATAGATTCTCCTTAAGCACAATTTGGTTTGTTTATGTGAACTTTACATTGAATAGATAAAGAAATTTGTTGTTAGAAATCTTACAGAGAGCTGGATTTAAAATTTGCAGGTTTTGCAAAACAGGACTATCAAGTGATATCACTGTTGTTGTTGATGATGTGAAGTTCCATCTTCATAAGGTATAAGCTTTTTGATTATTCTTTTGATGCTTTGCTTTCTTCTTGAGTTTGGTATCCCCTTTGTCGTCTTAGGAACATGCTGGATTTAGCTAGGTGGTTCTTAGTATAATGATTTTAGTAACAAACATGTTCTGCTGTTCCATAGCCTTGAAAAAAGATAAGTCTAGTTGATACTTATTTGTTCCCATTAGTCTATTTGTGGAAACAATTAGATCATGTTAAGTTACATAGATTCAGCTACTAGTTATGTGTATTACCTGCATCTTTCTGCTTGTGTGAAAATTAGTAGCAACTGTTTTAAAAGAACTACAAGAGTTATGTATGTGTGTATATGCAGTTTCCATTGGTTTCTAAATGTGGAAAGTTAGCACGGATGTATGAAGATTCTAAAAGCACCGATAAGCAATCTCTCTGGACAACAGTGCTTGAAGAGTTCCCTGGTGGCGCAGACAATTTCTTGATAGTTGCGAGATTCTGTTACGGGACTCGAGTAGATATCACCTCGAAAAATTTAGTTTCCATACACTGTGCAGCTGAGTACCTTCAAATGACAAATGAATATGGGGAAGATAACTTGATTTCCCAAGTTGAGACATTTTTGCACAAGCATGTGCTTCGCAATTGGAAAGACTGTATCTTGGCGTTACAAAGTTCTAACCCGGTGTTGAAGAGTGCAGAGAAGCTTCAGATGATACCCAAACTCATGAACGCTGTGTCCACGATGGTGTGTACTGACCCAAGTTTGTTTGGATGGCCCATGATGATGTATGGTACACTGCAGAGTCCGGGTGGAAGCATTTTATGGAATGGAATAAACACGGGGGCACGAATGAGAAGCTCGGGTTCGGATTGGTGGTATGAAGATATCTCTTATCTTAGTGTAGATTTGTTTAAAAAGCTCATCAAGACGATGGAAACAAAAGGTATACGTGCTGAAAGTTTAGCCGGTGCTATGATGTATTATGCGAGAAAGTATTTACCGGGTTTAGGACGGTGGCAGAGCGGAACAAGTGACAGCAGCAAAAGTAGAAGAA